TAAATGGCCAAGGAAATAATCCACAGCCAAGGGTATAGATGGGAGAAGTAAAGATCCGGCCGAGAGCAGCCACGAACGATCAAGAAGATCGACTGGGAAAGGACGAAGATTCGGATCAAGATAGATCCAAGAAAACGGTCACGAAAATGGTGCATAAGCCGGGACTGGATCTGCACGCATTGATGGGCCGGAATAGAAAATTCTTTATCGGCTACTTAGTCATGTGGGGTTGGTTGGTTAAATGACTAAGTACCGAAGGAAATTGTTCATATCTACAGCATACGGTTCAAGGATGGAATGGGACTGGCAAGGAACACAGACAAGGTAGACGCACGCATTGATCAGTTCAATCCAAAACACGGATCAAAGGGCGCCGAATCACAAACGTGGCTACGGTAAGTACACTACTCTGAAAACAAATAGTTAGTGACTTACATATTACTAGACGGTTAGGTCTAGGGAATAGAATGCATAGGATGTATGACTTGAACCAAGTCTAAGATTATTCTATAAACCGAACAGAAGTCAAAGAGGGCTGTCTGAAGGTAGAAGATAATCTGACCGGCAAGTGATAGATTGGGATTAGATCAAGGGGGAAATAAAAGTTTAAGTAGAAAGGAAATTCCGCTGTGTATTATTAGAAACGTTAAATGGATCTAAGTTAAATGGCTAAGTAAAGTCATAGGAAATATCCGAAAGAAACGCTTGTAAGAAGTGAATAAATAAGAAAAAGGGTAGAAAATATTGAGGTTCGGCCAGGAGACGGCCTGAACATGGAACACATCGTCCGCGGCCTTATAACAGCCGGGATAGGGTGTTTCAACTTAATATAGTAGTAGAGCCTACAGATAAATAATTGATATTTTTTTTTTAAAAAATGATAGAAGCGTAGATGTTAAGATTGTATTGGTATTGATATGTATTCGGACCTGAAATGAATAATTTGTACTATCTCTCTCAAAAACAAAAACAAAAATAAAAGATAATGAATAAACCGGAAAGCTAAGAATTCGATCACCGATTCCATGATTGATTATGTTTTAATTTATTCAAAATTGTATCACTAAAATAATAAAAATAAAGACTCAATTTATATACGAACCAGTTTTGATGTTGCATATATGATTTTAACTGTTAGAGTATATTTGGCGACTGGCTAGAATATTTGATTTAGTAGTTGAGGTTAATAAGCAAGATATTTTACCAAGAGTCAATAGCTCAACAGGTAAAAATCTCAGGCAAAGTCTATAGGTTACTGGTTTGAGGGACGAGACCATATAACATGCTCTGATATATTGGGCCTGAGAAGATGTACGGGCTCTACAAGAAAACAACTGATTACCATCAAAATTTTATGTTGATTTATATTCAACGTAAATTTACATCACATTTACGTTAAATTTACGACGTCAGCAAATTTTATCGTAAATTCGACATAAATTTTAATCGGGTTACTCTTCCTCCCTCATTCGACGCTTATTCATCCATTAGAATAGATATATAGGAACAGAATTATATGTTTAGGACATAATTAATTTTTTTTTATATAGAATGGATTATGTAGAAAGGAACGAAATTATTAAATTTTTTTTTTTTATGTTTTTCAGATATAGCTCCATGCAAGACTCACTACCACCAGTTTATGAGCGAGGGTGGTACGTCTGGCTCGACGACGAGCACCAACGCTCGGGAGATGCCGTCTACTTCAAACAGCACCCAGAACGTTCCCGAATATTCGCTAAATGCACCGCTGCCGCCACCTCCACCGCCTGCGGCAGCCGAGCAACAGGCTCCACATCCGTATATCAGGTGGATGATCTCCTCGTCCAACCGGGTCGGAAAAACTTACCAAGGTTGGTACCGACCCGACCGTCGAAGACTTATTGGTTCGTCTTTTTTAACATTTTTTCTTAATTATAGATATTTTTTTAATTAAAATCAATTTTAACTTAAAATTAATTTGTAGGTTCAGTATTGATTCTTGCGTGTCATGGAGCATCGCTGACATTATCAAGAGCTACTTCGTGGAACCGCACTACAACTGGAGTCGTGTTTCACAACAGATTTTCCAGACATGGTTCAAGTGCTTTGCGGTAAATTTTTATTGTTATTTAATCTTATTTTTTCCTTATTTATCATAAATAATAATATGTATTTAATGTTTTCTATAATTTTTTTTGTTTACAGCAAAAGTGAAACTGGGACTTGGAGATTACTGAGACGGTGAAGACAGCTTTCAAGAGGAAGGCGATGAAGCGTCTCGTCAACACCGTCTCAGACTGGAAGCGCAAGTGGGAGGTCGAAGGCGACGACGCGAAGTCCAGTGCCATGTCTACGACATGTTGGAACGGGTTAAAGGTGTACGGATCAATTCGCACGCACAGGACACAGTTCGGAGGTACGCAACAGAGTTGGACCAGATGGCCAGAAGAAGGTTACACTGCATAACTCTTGCCATACTTCTTTTGCAGGCAAACGCCTGATGATGGTAAGTTAATTTAATTTTCTTTTTAATTAATAATTATCTTTACATGATTATCTAATTTTGATATTTTTTTCAGACTGAAGCAAACGAAGGAGAATTTCCTCCTATGACCAAGATCTTCGAAGAGACGCACCGGAAAAAAGACGGCTCTTTCGTAGATGCTCTATCGGTGCAGGTCTACAACGAGACGATTGTGTGGATCGCAGAGCGTCAAACTTAAGTCTCACCAGACGTTTCTTTGATCATCCTCGAGTAAAATCAGATATTTGAAGAAGTAATTTCATTTTTTAACTTTTCATTAATATTTTTTATTCAAAATTTTTAATTCTATAACATTAAGTACAAATTTTTGTAGGTTGCTCCGAGGAAAAAGTACCAGATTTTAGGGATGGGCTCAATTAGGAATTGTCCGGTCGCGTCGTTTGGATGGATTTTACGAGGATCCAGTGGTCATGTGGTCGCCAACACGGAGATCATGAACTTGCGGGTGGAGCAAGTCGTGCAGCGACAGGAGTTCCTCGAGATGAACAACCTCTTCGATATTATCAAAGCCAGCAACCCTATGCTAGATGCCGCATTGAAGGAGAAGGAAAGGCGTAAGCTGGAGGAGCAGGAGCGGCAACAGCATCAACAGCAGCTTCAGGCGTTCACTTTGGCTCCGCGGAGTGGAATTGGCGAAGAGGAGACATCGTCCACCGTCAACGCTGACGGAATATTAGTAATAATATATACTTTTAAAATTAATTTAAACGAATCCTAGTTTTTTTGTATTTTCTATTTTTGTAAATATTTTTGAATTTATTTGAATTTTATAATATTATTTTTGAATTAATTTTATTATTTTTGATTTTTTATAATTATTTTTTGAAATCGACGTAATATCATCGTAATTTTCCAACCAATTTACATCGAAAGGTTTACGTCAACTTTACGTCGATTTGGTTTATGTCGATTTACAGTTGATTATTTACAACGATTTTAAATCAATCTTAAATATATAATTTATTATTTTGGTTTATTAATTATCAGAAAATCGATGTAAAATCAATGTAAAGTTACATTAGTGTTATAATCGTCGTAAAATTGACATAAAAGGTTATATCGATATTACGACGATTTTACCACGTCGAAATTACGTCGATTTTCAGTCCTTGTTAATTTTACGTTAAATTTACAACGATCCTTAATTTACGACGCTCGGTTTACAATGAATCAAAAATCAACAGTAATTTGATGCAAAGACTTATTTGCGATAATTTTACATTAATTTCGGCCGACGTAAATCCGCTGTTTTCTTGTAGTGGGCTTAGACCTAAAACTTTTTAATTATTTTTTTTTTTAAAAGACGAAACAAATATAGACAGTCAAAATCAAGGAAATCAACGATTCTCAAGGCGAGTTGGAATTAACATGAAACATGGAATAGTTGTGCAAACTCTGGCAAGAGGATCAATTTTTTTTGTTTGAAAAATCTTTTGTAACTCTAGTTTTCGATTTTAGTTTTTCCGATTATAAAAGATGGAATCGACTTTTTTACTAATCAGGTGTGATCAATCAGGATACATCCAATACTAAACATAAAGTGACCATTTTTTTTAGTTTGGCAAAAATTGTATTTTCAGATGTTGTCTTTTTGTGTGATGCAATATAGAAAGATTTTTCTCAAACATGAAAAATATATATAAAGTGTTTCGATAAGGTTTCTTGTATATTTTCCCTTTTATTGTAAAAACAAAAATAGAAACTTGAATGGGTATTGACTTTACTTCGTGAAGCTAGAATCTTTTAAACTTATTTAAAAAAATTATTATATCTTTAAATAAGCGAAGCTTATACAGTAATCTAAAGATATAAACACAAATAAGAAACGTGATTCACACCAAACATCTAGTATTAAATCATGCCCTGATTAAACGAATCAGTTTTGATGTTGAACACTTGAGCTTACTTGGTTCTCTTGTGTGCCATATAGACACTATCATAAGTCGATAATACTGTTGACTATTCCTAGATCGGTTTCTGATAAACATGCTCACAAAACCCAATGCATAAATGCATAAGCCAGCTCCATGCCTGGAATTTAGTGCATCTTCCATAATATCTAATGAATTTAATGTATAGGCCAGATTTGTCAAAACCTTATCAAATCTCAATATAATAAAATAAAAATGAACTCCCAACCGAAATTAATAAGTATAGTGTATTTAATATCACACCTTGGGATCACGAATAGTATGGACTGTATACAAAATTTTTAATCTTTGTAATGGATTGGTTTTATAGTAAATAATTTGATGTCAATGCCAAAATTATTTAAAATCTTATCTATCTCGATCAGTATCTGCTCTGTCGGAGTTACGTTATACGTACGTACCATCAAGATAAAAATTAATTATATGAATCGAAGAGAGAGCAGTAGTATAAAGAGAGAGTGCCTCTCTCATTAGAATCATGCACCTCGCAAAATCTAAAACCAAAAAAAAAAAAAAAACTAAACCAATATAAATTAGTTACCATGGTAGAGGTTTATGAGTTATGGACTGTAGTAGTTTCACTCACACTGGTGATGCTATGTCACTGGATCTATCAGTGGAAGAATCCAAAGTGTAGTGGAAAACTTCCTCCAGGGACGATGGGTTTTCCGATCATCGGAGAGACTTTCAAATTCATGAAACCTCATGATGCTTTTCAGCTTCCAGAATTCGTCAAGAAGAAAATCCTCAGGTTAAATTAATTTATGCATGTGACCTAGTTAATTACTCTAACATGCATCATATGTCACGTAGTCTCTTGGATTTTTTTATTATGTGGCAATTAAACCATAAACTACTGTATATATTGGCCCACACAATCGAATATATATACTGTTTCTACAATCCATTAAATTACATATAAACTTATTTAATGATTTTCTTTAAAATAAACATTGTATTACACATTTTCTTATAATTAGTTGTTTATATTAGTCTTTCATATTGTTAATATAAGGTTGTGAATTTGTTCAGCTTAAAATACTATAAAAACATTTCTCGTAATGGAATAATTATCATTATTAGAAAATAATTTTAAAATCTTTGACGGTGTACTCAAATCAAAAGAATTAAAAAAAATAATAGTGAAAAAATGAGTTCTATGGTAAAAGGAAGAAAAAATGAAAAGAAACTTGTCAAATTAGAGAATTGATAATGGTGTTTATAATCCAATTAAGGTTACATTATAACTTATATACACAATATAATTTCAAAGAACAAAAAAAATATATTGGAAAATTTATATATGTGAGTATTTTCTGTTGATTACTCCAAGTTTAGTCAAATACGCTGCCTTACTTTTCCCTTGCTATTGGAAAATAAAATAAAAATTTAGATATGGACCACTTTTTCGGACAAGCTTATTTGGAGCAAAAGTTATAATCTCGACTGATATTGGATTGAACATGGAGGTAGCAAAGACAAATCATGTTCCTGGTATGCCGAAGAGCTTAGCACGGTTATTCGGAGAAAACAATTTGTTTGTACGTAAGGAGTCCCATAAACATGTCCGGAGCTTGACCACACAGTTTTTAGGTTCCCAAGGTTTGAAATTAAGAATGATGCAAGACCTTGATCTCTTGGCTCGCGGACACATTGACCTAGGAGCTAGTAACGGCTCTCTTGACGTCAAGGAAACAGCAAGCAAGGTATCCCCTAGTCTAAGTCTTGGCACGATCATTTTTTTTTGGTCAAGACACACGATCGATTAGAATAAACTTAGATGATTTAAGATTGGATCATGTCATCATTATATACATTAACATTAAACGTTATACAGATCTTGACTGAATCCCTTGCGAAGAAAATTATGGGGGAGATGGAACCAGAGGCCGCAAAAGAACTCGCATTATGTTGGAGAGATTTCCCAAAGGGGTGGTTTCGATTCTCATGGAACATTCCTGGCACTGGTGTCTATCGAATGATGAAGGTACGTGGCTTTGAGTTCATATATGCATGCATAGGACGTAAGAGTAAAAGGAAAATAATTGAGGTGATGTTGTACATGGACAGGCAAGAAAGCGAATGATGAACATACTAAAGGAGACGGTGTTGAAAAAGAAAGCATCAGGAGAGGAGCTTGGGGAGTTTTTCAAAATGTTATTTGGAGAAATGGAAGGAAAAGCTGAAACGATGAACATAGAGGATGAGATCGAGTACATTTTCATTTTCTTTTTGATTGCTAACGAAGCAACTCCTAGCGTCCTTGCGGCAACAGTAAAGCTCATAAGCGATAACCCGAAAGTCATGCAAGAACTGACGAGAGAGCATAAGCGAATAGTCCGGGATAGAAATGACAAGGACAAGGAGGCCAGCTTAACATGGGAAGACTACAAATCAATGACTTTCACCCAAATGGTAAATATTTTATTGTCAACGTACGGGTTTTGCGTTGGAAACTTATAGTTTAAGACAAATATGATGTTTTGCGTCAGGTGATAAATGAGTCGCTAAGGATCACGAGCACGGTCCCAACGGTGTTTAGAATAATTGATCATGAGTTCAAATTTGGTGATTATACAATTCCAGCTGGTTGGATCTTCATGGGCTATCCTAATGTCCATTTCAATCCAGAGAAGTATGATGACCCTTTAGCATTTAATCCATGGCGCTGGAAGGTATATGTTAATTTGTTAATTCAGATCCTTTATATTAAACATATAATTAAACTAAATTTAAAACATATGTTAAACTTAATTTTTGAAGGAAAAAGACTTAACTGCAATCCTCTCCAAGACTTTCATACCCTTTGGCGCTGGTTCTAGACTATGTTTAGGAGCTGACTTCGCTAAGCTGTTAATGGCCACTTTTATCCATCATTTGTGTAGATACAGGTTCTCTTTTTTTATCACCTAATGATTTATGATTCAGTTTAATTCTGACTGCATGCAATCATATTTATGTCTGTAACTATGGTTTATGAAGGTGGTCAATGAAGACAGAGACTACAGTACTTCGAAGGTTTATACTTATGTTTCCAGGTGGATCTGATATTCAAATCTCTAAAGACACCGAGGTGGATGATTCTGCTGGTTATTAGAGTGGTTATATTCAATTTGAGGTTGTTGGTTGCATGCTTTATGTTGAACGGTTCTGATTAATGAATAAAAAACTATCTTGTAAGAAACAGTCAGTGATCAGAGTGTGTGTATGCTTCTACTGAATGAATAAAGTAAGATGCACTTTGTATAGAGATGATGCTACAAGAAAAATTTATAATTCATGTGACGGTCTGATATTCAAAAAAGTTATGTTATCATTGATTTGTTTTTTTAGAGTACAATATTAAAATCTAACGACATAAGATTGCTTTCCATCTTCGATTGTCACACTTTATAAGAATATTAAGAAACGTACCTTTATAATCCATCGGTAACCAAGTGAGCATAACGATTTAAGGGCATGTCTTAACGCCTGACCTTCTGTTTCTAAAGCTATTTGCGCGAATCGAGCTCTGCTGTCTCGGAGGATCCATCTACCTGTCACCAAATCATTCAAGAAACTAGCAATCATAATTGCATTTTAATGTAACCCTCTTTTGGTCGTTGCCATGATTCTTCTACAGATGTTGGTATTAACCATCGCGGCCTTTATTTCTATTGCTCTGTTTTCATGATTTCTGCCTATGAATCCATTCCCTCATCTACTGTTTATTGAAAACCAATGCAATCCGAGACTAAAAGCAGAAACTAGAAAGAAAGAAAGAGGCAGCCAAAAGAGAACTTTGCAAAAGGCTACCAAAAGATGGTCAAGTAAACTTGTTCTCAATCGAAATCCTAGTGGTAAGCAGAGGCTACCAGTGAACTTTTTTGGCAGTGAACTGTTTTGGCAATGTCACCTGCAAGTATATATGATTATAAAAATATCTACGCAGGCCAATATGAGAATTGATGAATCCACAAGGGAAAAGAAATGGAGAGAGATTAAGAAAACAAATGAACAAACCACTTCAATCGTAAATACATCAGACCTTAGTAAAACGTCAGGTCACAGGTCCAATATAAGATCCATTGCCTGCAAAAAAGATAGCCACAAGGAAATTGTTTCATATGAAATTTTACCAAGCCTTCACATCGTTATGATATCTGGGAGAGAGCATATATACACAAAGACACAGAAGAACAGATATATTCAAGACAAATTACACTTCAGATAACTCGTGTACAAGGACAATAAGATGAATCTAGCTTGAACCAAAAACAAAAAAACAAATCCCAGCCAGCAATGTAAAAGACAGTACATCCGGTTCTTAATTCTCAATTATACTTGATTCTTCTAAGTTCTATGTAGCGCAATAAGACTGGCAAGAAAGGTAAAGCAAAACAATAAAAGCAGTAAACAAATGAAATATCAAGCAAAAGTGTCCTCACGATCTCTCTCGCTGAAGTCACCATCCTCCTCCATATTGCTGAACTCCAGGAAATGAGTGGGTCGATGCTCACTGTCATAGTACTCCTTGGGATTTCCGAGTTTCACGCTGTATTTCATGCTCGTCGTGTGCTTTACTCCCATGAAGTTATAGTTCCATGGTACATTTTCAGGAACCATGTAAAACCCAAGGAACCGGTCACTCAATAGCATTTGAGCCTTGTCAAAGTGTGTTGGAAGGTAGCCTTGGGGATTATTGCCTGTGTCTTTGTTGACCAGTCCCCATTCATATCCGGCTTGGGTCAGCTTATATGAGGTCAACGAACATGATCCTGGAGTGAAACTGCAAGTCAAGATGATGCATTTTTCTCTGTCCCATTGCTTGTTACTCTCCAGAAAACGGGCATGTGAGGTAACATCTTGTGGCGACAGCTGAGGAAGCTCATTAGGCTGTGTGTGCATCCATCCCAAGGGCTCAAGACCCTTCAAGAAATCATGCTCAGGAAGAGAAGACGGCAAGTGAACTTGCTGGTGAGTTCCCCACTGAGGCACCATCACAACACAGCGGATTTCCTTGACCTGCGGATTATCCAGGGGACTGACACCATACAAATACCCAGCAATCTGAGTACGAAGATCTGCTATGCGGATGAACTTCTTCAAGATGTTCTTTGGCATTATGTAGGTGTATCCTGCTTCATCTATGTCATATGAGTTCACATAAATGTGGCTCACCCTAAGGTGAAGATTAGTAGCTGAGACTGCACGGACGCGCCAGTCTGTTTTAGAACCGAACGCAGCTTGCTCGTAAGGACTGATGGTGGCGACAATGAGCTCATCACCATGAACATTTGTGGTCCTCGTTGTGACTGCACTAAGCTGTCCCACTTCCTTGGCCTGTTTCTCAATCTCAGCTATTTGTTGCCTTTGTTGAGACGGTGGAGTAATCTCAGCTCCAAGTATGATATCTCTTATCTCTGACTGTGTCAGAGCCGAGGTGTTCACGTTATTCTTCTTGGCGTAGTCAGAAAGAATGAGGTCTTTAACCTCCACCTTTATCCATTGGTCGTTAGTGAGAGAAGGCCAGATGTGATGCGTCTCAGTGACAACAGACTTGTCGGGCTTCAATAACATCTTAGCCTTCTCATTGCTGACATGAAGAGCACGGAGGATGAGAATGAGTCTTGAGAAGGCAGTGTAAGAGGAAATACTCGTCAACCAATCATCATAGATATTGAAGAGGAACATACGCGGCTCAGTGGCTTTCAAAATCATATCACCAAACTTCTCAATCTTAAGGCAAGCCTGGAATGGAAGCTGCAACTCGCTTCCCTTGATAACAATGTTAGGGAAATCCTGCAAGTTAACCTGAACGGGCTCCAACATTCCTTTACGAGTCACAATAACTTGTTTTGGTTGTTCTTCAATGGGGAGAGACCGCACAAGTGCAGCAACTTCTTCGGCCGTTTTCCATTTCGCTAGCTGACTACGACGCTTCTGACCAGCCCAAACGCTTGTATGGATAACCTTCAGGAACAGCTGCCCAGTTCTTGGATTGAAGATAAAAACTGCGCCATTGATTGGCTTTGCTGTCACGTTCCCTTCAAATGTCTTGTGCATCGTCACACGATAGACATTGGTATCGTCAATAAACCACATCATCTGATTACTGAATATTTCGCCATAGTTTTGTGATGACAAATACGGCTCCGTAGGCTCAGACGAGTATAACTGCAAACCCTTCCTTATCCTTTCTCTCAAAACACATAACGCTGGATTTGACTTCATAATCTTGTTCATTGCTTGAGCAAGCAGAGACTTTGAACCAGGGAACCAATTACCATAGGCGGAATGCAAGTTGTACGCCAGATCAATCCCAATCACAACACCGGTTGAAGATGGATAGATAGACATGTTATCTGTTGTATAATCCATGAATTTCGCCCTAGTGTAACGCTCAATATCATGAGAGTCATAATCTCCCCATCGAAGCTGTACATCTATCCAATACTTGTTACTAGCTTTCTGGTCAAAGATTTCATTCGACTCAGTCACTAGACTAGGCTTAGACATTGGCCATTTGTTGGCAGAAAACAGAAGAATATCAGCACAAGAGCTATTCATTTTGTAACTCTTCCTTGGATGAATTGTCTCCTTCTGTACACCTTCTATCTCCAAGGCATCCATATATTGATCCAATACTTGGCAAAGATCCATAACAACACCCTCATGGATCTTTTGCCACATATGGGCACGGAAAATCTGAATCAAAGATATCTTAAGGGTAGGAATCTTTCCATGCATGAAGATTCCGGTCAGGTCCAACTGCACCTGGAAACCGACATAAACATTGGCTCGATTGATTGTCGGCGACCACCAGAGCGTGAACCTTCTATTTGGAATCTGGTTCAGACCAGACCTCTGTGCATTCGTCAGCTTCTTATACTTCATAGACTCCTCAAACCCAGATGCCTTCTCCCAGAAAAGACCCTCCCACGTTGGAAAGTATGTTCCCTTAAATAAAGTGTGCTCAAGAATACCTTCAACACCTCCAAGAGCTTGGATGACATCAGTTCGATAGTTGTTCAAGTTCCACAATTTCCCATCATGCTTCTGATGAGTCCACCAGAAATGATTTTGTTTCATGACTTGGTACTGCTTGAAGTCGGTCCGGACTCTCCAGCCTTTATCATATGCTAACGTGTGCCTATCCTTCTGAAATAGCGTATTTATACGCGGAAGTCCCCTATCCCAAGAGTCTTCTAAATCCTCAAGTGCAAGACGCCTGTTTTGGATCTGTGCTTCCTGCCTCTTCAAAGCAAACTCCGCCCACACCCGCTGTGAATCTATAAACTCGCTTTCCCATGACTGAATGTAACGGTAAAGATTTGGTATTTTCAGATCCTCTTCATGGCTCATTCCACTTCTGAAGTGAGTAACACCAAGGTCTGTTTGTCTGCTGTACCGAAGGTCGCTTTGAGGGATCAGAATATGACTCAAAGACAACATTCCAAGCCCGCCGATTTCCTTTGGAGTGTAGAAGACAACAGGAGGAAACCGACTAGGCATCTTTGAGTTCAGACCAATCTTGATCCTTGTCTGGATTTTACTTTCACCTTTAACCAACAGATCAATGAGCTCTGGTGTATGCAGAGTGGCTTCACGAAAGTAAGCCATGACACCTATCAGAGCTGTATTCCACTTGTTGGCGATTTTGGTAAATGTGGTTGACCCTGACGACATCAGAATTTGCCTCACACGATTATCAAACGCCTTGATTTTTTCTTCATCAACGCGCAGAAAAGCCACGGCAGTCTTCTCTTTAGTCTGTTCATTCTGCAGATTCCAGACACCATCCCCAATGTTGCTAAAAACTTCTTGGCTCATCCTGATCTTTGGAAGTATGCGGATCTCAAATCCACACATGTTGAACAACAGATTGGGATTATCCTTGCTGTACACAGAAACGAAGCTATTCTCCCACTCAAAAGTTGTAAGGCTCCGAGGAAGACGGTTCCTCATTTCCCAGAAGATACTTCTACCAAGATTGACATCATGCTTCATTAACCTCATCCTTCCATCTCTTGGCCAGCACTTCTTATTGTTATACCCCACCATGTTTTCATTGTTGGGATCAGGATTTTCCCTAAGGTAACGTTGAATAAGATCTCGGGCCTCTTCATGAGTAAATTTAAACATGATGTGCACCTTGTCTATGTACCGGGAATATAACCTTATGGGATGGCGCGTCTCAACTTTTGTATCCCAATAGGTCAAAAACTCGTTAGGCTTCTGCGGTGGCCCAGCAATCTCACTCGCTCGAGTCAAACCAAGAAGCAAAAGATCCAGCACTAGTCCATAAAACTGAGCAACAAAGGATGCGAACTGAAGTCCCCTGATGAGACCATACGAGTTAGTATGACTCATATCCTTGTAAGACAGAACATTATTCTTGGCTGTTATATAGTCTGCAATGTTGGGGTCAACAATCAAACGAAGAAGCCTGTTCAATATTGTGACATCAATCTTCTCAAACAACTTTTCAAGCTTCGTCTGGAGCATCACCACACACTGCCCATCACCTGTGTCCCATATGCCTTGCAAATTATTAATACCCTGACACCACTTGTAAACCAGAAGCGGTGGTGGCTCTGAATCTGCTGGCTTAACCCAGTTGGGAAACAAGTGGCGCTTGTCAGCCTCGTACCATAAGTATTGATCAAGATAGGCATCAGTAATCTTCTCTAGAGGATCGATATCATAAACCGGAATCAAACAGCTGTATTGATCCATAAACTGAATACCCACATCTTTAAACTTGCGCTGAGTCAAAAGATGGCGTTTAATCCGCGCTAGAGTCTCATGAGGATTGTCATAAGCTTGTTCAATAAGACCAAGCTCTTCTCGCTGCTGCTGATTCAACCTTCCATCTCCACCATATGATTCTTTCAGTCTCTCGAGGGCGAGGATGAGCAACTTCGTATCATGTTTGTATGACAGAGGAGGGAACGGAATCGGCGAATACTTTCTTGCTTCCAGCCACGCGACGGTAGTTCTATAAGTTGCAACTGCTTCCTCCGAAGTGACAGGTGCACCGTCTTTCAGGTAATTGTGTTGCCTTTCCTGTTCTGCCTTTAGCCAAAGACGTGTCATCCTTCCAAGGTTCTTCCTACAAACTGTCTTATCAACTGTAGCCCCTCTCCTGATACGCTCACGGTTGTAGTGAGTAACATTTGTCCACCAGTCAGCCTTATGCTTGACATACCTGAGGATCATATTCTCAACGGGCAGAGGCAGACCAGGGACGTTCCACGGGATATTAGCTTTCCAACACCGCCACGCCTCACTAAGGTGCTGCCCGATTACTCGCACTTTCTTCTGATTCATACCCTCTGGCATGGCATCAACAAGATCATGCATGACAGCAGCTCGAAGCTCCAAGTCAAAATGGCTTTCAACTCTTTGCTTTGTGACAGTTTTCGCCACTCCTTTCGAATGACGCCCCTCGAAATGACGTCCAAGAAGATTCCCTAACCATCGTTCTAGTAGAGGAACTATTCCACGGAGGAAAAACAACCACACTCTCCACATTGGAGCCCAGAATCCACACCCTGGCCCTTTACCCACAGGACCAGTATTGAAACGGTAGTAAATCAAGTGCTTCAAGTCCTTGCACATCCTAATTTGTCTCATCAGCCTGTACTTATAGCGATACATACCTGTCAACTGGCCAACGTGGGAGAAAATATATTGCAGGCCATCAGCCAACTGGAAGGCATCAACGTTCCCAAGCCGGAACTGGACATTTGCGTCGACCACAAGTTTTGTCAGCCGGAGAATCTCGCGACAGAGATGGAAAGCATTCCCGAAACGTGACTTCTTCCTCTCCTTGGTCGTCAAAGTCTTAACTGGCTTGAGGTTGAAGTTGTAATCAAGATGCAGGTAGTTTAAACCCTTCCTCTGAATCAACAGATTCAACATATTGTAACCTTGCCGGCAGACTTGCAAACCTGCTTCAACCCAATCAAGTTCGGTGCTTTAGAAAAACTTTGTCCCTGCAAGAGACCGGAACAAGTGCTTCTTCTTCTGAGATTTAGGTGGTCTACGGTGTAACTCATTCAGAACATAACATTTCAAGAGCTTCTGGTAACTAACCCGAACTTTGACCGGATATGTTGAAGGACAGTGCTCCTTGAACCACTCTGACACAAGCGGTATATCCTCTGCACGCCGCGTCTTCCCAGACCTCATATTGAAAGGTCTTGGAGCAAACAACAACGTAATCCCAGCACTTGTAGTGTCAGTGTAAAGATCGGTGTCTTGTAGCAACGGCTCCACACCTTGTGGTAAGGCAAAGTCATCTTCCTCATCATCATAAACCTTTTTGTCACGAAATCCCTGATTAGTGTTACTTATTGGGTTAATCAACGGATCATAATAAAACGCAGGAAGGTCAGGATCCTCACTCTTGATGTACATAACCATAGGAGTGTGATACGCAGAGAGCTTTACTTTCCTGGGCCTGTTATTGTACAAGTAAGGGAAAGCTACTCTTCCCTCAGTTCGCATACGAGATCTAACGATGAGCTTGTTGATGTCGTTGAACTCGTTCCAATCCTCGTCCCCTTTCTCCACATCACGATACAAAGGCTCAAACTTTGGACCACCGGGTATGCACATGTTCAACGCCTTTGATGTCAAGAACGATGGCATATCAAACAAATAGAAATAGTTCCCATCAACCAAATCAGAAAGCAACTGACCTGCAAGCCTGTGAAGCGTCGCCATAACCGGAAGCGAGAGGTTCCACCTCCTGTAACTCGGACCATTGATCATACTCGTCTTTACAAGCGGCTTGTGATCGTAAAACCAACTGTACACAGGAGAATCTTCATCCTCATCAAGCTCCAACTGAATCGGTTCTAAAGGATCAACATCCATCAGATTATCTGCATAATCCAGCGGAGGCTCTTCATCATCAAAAGGCGGAAACCGCATTCTCTTGAAGTGTCGACGATCTCTCTTCTCTCTTCTCATCATGATCCACATAGTACCCCACTGAGCCATGTAAATAGGCTCCACAACCAACGGTATCTCGTTCACAAACGTGATCGCTCCGGTGATGTGATACAAGACCTTGACGTCCCTGACTTGCTCCCAAGGCATTGGCATATTCTCCAGGAGCTTGAAAACAGCGTGAGGAACAAACTTGAGAGCTCCAAGATAAACGCGTTTGTCATGACGATATCTCTTCGATGACATATCACCATGTTCCCTCATAATCTTCCTAAGATGCTCTGGTGGCATGTCTTCTTTCTGCGTTTCCACGAACCCTAATCTTCTCTTCTCACCATACCGTTTAGAATTCAATTGCATCCAAACCCTAGCCTTCTTCTCCAGTTTCGCATCATCTTCCTCAGGTGTAAGCTTCGACGGAGGATCAAGATTAGCTTCGGACAGAGACACCATGATAACATTCGAGACAGAATCAAGAACAGAATCAAGATTGAGTCGCCGGTGAAAACCAAAAAAAAAACTAAACTTGTGTGTTACCTTGCGTAATCTGACGTTTCAAAGAAAAGTAAGATTTTCAGGAAAAACAAAAAAGTTTCTGTATTTATAAGGGAAATTCGCCGACCTCCCTCGTTAATCCTAAGCGATGTGGGACTGTTACATTAATAATGCGGTTTCCGTTTTTAATGGCGGTAGCAATGTGGTTTCCTATTATTGTGGGTTTAGACTATAACAATAGTTAACTATAAATACTTAAATTTTTTGGCAGAATTATTAATTATTTAACTCAAAAAAGAAAAAGAAAAAATCATAAAACAGAGAAACAACATTACAAATTTGAAAAGAAAATCGGTGATATTTGTGTGGTTCATCAAATAAATCAAATTTCAGTGTCTTTATCAAAAAAATAAGATTTCAGTATCATAATTTTGACTAAAAATGACACATATGTTATACAGGAAACTTCTAAGGATTTTAATTAAGTTAACAAAAACTATCCACAGAATCTAATTACGGTTAATGGACATATGTGTAAGAAAATCTAAAGGAAAACTCAGTATAACTAAACAAACTTGGATTCATTGAAAAGCAATGAAAAAGTCTTCTGAATATATCAAAACACTTGCAAGACTCACACAACTAATATTATCAGCCTATACCAAATGGTAACTTAGAGAGGTAAGAAAATATACTCACATTGGAAGTCACGATTTCGACACAAATGACCGCAAATATGCTCCAAATTACGAATGGTAGCTGCGACATCACTTAGGGTAGCCCAAGTCTGTTATAACGAACTTGCTGCAAAGTGAAACACCATCATCCCAATATCAAAAGTTCAAAACTTGGACTTGATGAATAACATATAGGCTTCGAGTTAAAACAACTTACTTACTAGTTTGATGTTTTGCAATATCTCTCTCACGATCTGATTTCTTCAAAAGGACTCACTTTCTCTGGAAAACTAGATTGCTCTCTGGAAAACTAGATTGCTCTCTGGCTCGGTATCTACACAGACAACAGTTAAATCACATTATATCTCCGTAATCCCTACACAACATACAACTCTTGTCTAAACCCAAAATTATCTTCCGACAAATACAGTTGCACACTCAATTATCTAATCAATGTACACAGAGAATTACTATTCCCTTGTTTAACAATCAGAATTTGTGTTCCACTTTGAGCTCTCTTCTTACTTTGAGAATTTGTGATCTTGGGATCCCTTCTATCTTCTCATTGAGCTCTCTTCTTACTTCAAAATTCCTCCTTCTCTTAGCTTTTGGCTTTAATCTCCATCTTCAAGAAGAACATCTTCTATCTCCCCTAACATATTTCTACATCTACTTCCTCAGAGACCCACCAAGAATCTACCGAAAATATCGGGAAAAAGCTTTCGCCTTTGAGTTGGCCAAAAAAGGCCTTAACCTCGTCCTCGTCGTTTCGGAATCTCCACAAGCTGAAAGGTGTCTCCGATTCGATCAGATCCAAGCTCAGTAAAACCCATATGTGCTGATGAATTCCTCCGGAGAATTCGACGAGGGTGTGAAGCGGGAGCTTCATTGAGGCCATGGATTTGTAATTTTTGCGGTGGAGGAGGGGAGAGAATTAGAATCGCCGATTTTCAGATTTGTTTTTCTTTTTAATTTATCAGTTTAGTGAAAAACAATTCTTTGTTATAAACAAATGGACTTCTAGTAACCGGTCTATTAACCATAAGGTTAATGTCTCATGGCCCATTAGGGTTTCTGATACATTAGTTATGAAATGTATATATACACTGCTTATGGAAACAATAAGATAAGAGTTTTTTCCTTAATACGTTATCAGCACGAAGCTCAACTTCAAACGATCATATCTCTCAAAATACAAGGAGTTAGAAGGCGATCTACATATCATTTTGAAGCCCTGGAAGAGAAGAATCTAGTGGTGAAACCGCTCCTCAATCCGACACCAGACGCGCCCTCAAGACTCAAAACAATCGGCGCTGTCCCACCTTAGCGGGTGATTCTTTCCAAGCGGTGGTTCCTCCATTGTAGCAGCTGTTTGTCTTCCCTTCTGGCCATCATTCTCAGGAGTTTCCAGTAGATATCTGTGGTCTTTAGCTCCCAGATCATAAGCCGGTCAGAAATCCATTTGGCGAAAAGGTATTATCTAAAACTATAGATCCTAATCAAAGTTTTGGTTTTTTTTTTTTTTTGAAAACCCTAATATGGATCGGTTCTTTTCATGATTCTTCATCGTCTTTTTCGTTTTTAAAACCATAACCAAACCGATCCTCTTTCTTCTTGTCAAAACCCTAATTGGTTTTATTTTTCCTAATCGGCTTTATCATATAAAACATAAACCATAATGCTTTGTTCAAACCCTATACCGATCGGTCCTAGCATCATTTAAACCAAACACTAAAATTCCTTGCAACCGAAACATAAATCTTTGCAAAACCCTAGATCTAAAATCGTTTTGGTTTGTCTATCGTTAAACCGAGATTAATCGGTTTAAATCCTAAACCGATCGGTTATTTATCTTAGATCCGATCCTTGAAAACCCTAAAACCGGTCCATGCAAGCTCCTAAATCCTAAACCAATCGACCCCGTAAACTCTAAACCAATCGATCCACCTAAACCGTTTATAAACCGATAAATTCTAATCCTAAATCGATAGGGTTTAAGTTTAAACCGATCGGTTTTTCCTAATAAAAATTAAACCCTAGCAAATCCGTTTAGTTTAATCCCTTAACCGATTAATAACCCTAATAACCGGTTTCCAAAATTAAATCTAATTTAACCGGTTTTGTTGTTTAATCGATCAATCCGATCGGTTTAAGCTTAATCGGTTAATTTCAAATTAGTTTCCAAAATCAATTTGGAAAAACTAGTAAACCGGCTAGGTTATAAACCCTAAGGTTCGATTTTAGAGTTCCCTTATATAGCAAGTTTCCTAAAATAGCAAGTTTCCTAAAATGGAAAGTTTTCCCAAGAATACCTTAAATCCCTTATTCCAATGATCATAGTCTCATACTATTGATTATTTAACATAAATTATTATATGTTTCAGATGTCAAACATTCAGAAGGTCGAATATGAGGTACTCACTGTCTCCGGAGATAACTACCTCAAATGGGCCCTAGACACCAAGATCTACCTCAACTCAAAAAGTCTGGGTGAATGCATCAAAGATCCCAACACCGCGACTCAAACAGAACGGTACTCGGCGATATTTATTATCCGCCATCACCTCGCTGAGTCTCTCAAGCAACAATACCTCACTCTTGAGGATCCACTCGAACTTTGGGTGGCACTGAAAAAGCGATATGACCATCAGAAAACGGTCATACTGCCCCAAGCCAAGTTCGACTGGAAGAACCTACGGTTTCGAAGATTTCAAATCCGTCGAAGAATTCAATTCCAAACTCTTTCGGATAGTTGCACTCATAAAACTATGTGGCGAGGAGGTCACTGATAAGGATATGCTAGAGAAAACATTCTCTACTTTTGGCACTCCCAATGTTGTTCTCCAACAACAATACCGTGCCATGAATCATAGCACCTATGAGGATTTGATATCTTGCTTACTGCTTGCTGAGAAAAACAATCAGCTTCTGTTGAGGAACAGTGTCATGCGGCCTCCAGGATCAGCCCCATTGCCAGAAGGAACCAGAAAAGAGTCCAACTTCGTCCAACGTAACAGATCCTCAGATCGTGGACGTGGACGTGGAAATGGACATGGACTGCGCGGCAGAGGACGCGGTAGACCGAACCAAGATAACCGACCTAACCTCAGTTTTGGTCGGGGTAAGGGTCGTGGTATCAACAAACCGACCCAAAGAGGCAGTTCATCTAGACCAACTCCTTGCTCAAGATGCGGAATGACTAATCATTGGGTCAAGATCTGCCGTACTCCCAAATATCTTGCTGAGCTCTACCAGAAGTATGGGAAAGATAATCATGAGGCTAACCTGGTTCATCAAGTCAATGAAGATGACTCAAAGGATGATAAGATTGATGGCATGGATTATGAGCTCTCCGACCTCCTTGATTGATCTCAAAAAAATCTGAATTTGTTTTTCATTACTCCTTAAACTTTTATCTTTTGTTTTTTGGGATTTATTGTCTTTACTTTGGATTTTTAAGACCTTTTGCTTTTACATTTTAATTTATGGAGTAATGTTTTATTTACATCTCATTTTTGCATGTTATTGAATTATAATTCTTGTTTAATAAAGATATGCAAGACAATATGGATATCATTGTGGATAGTGGATCGAGCCACACCATTCTAAAAGACAAGAATTACTTCATAAATTTAGTAATCAAAACCGCAAACATTAGCACTATAGCGGGTAGTTCGAGCCTAATAGAGGGCCATGGCCAAGCTAATGTGCTGTTATCAAATGGCACATATCTAGACATCTCTGATGCCTTATACTCACCCAGTTCTAAGAAAAACCTATTGAGTTTCAAAGACATAAGATTGAATGGTTTCCATATCGAAACTCAGGATGAAGGGAACAAAGAGTTTTTAATTATCACTAAAATGATAAATGGTCATAAACAAGTTTTTGAAACTATACCCGCCGTATCTACTGGCATTTACCATGCTAAAGTCAGTATGATTGAGGCTAATGCTGCTATCAAAGCACGGTTTTTAGATTACACTATTTGGCATGATCGCCTGGGTCATCCCGGTGCGAACATGATGCGTAAATTAGTCCAGAATTCTAAAGGGCACAGCCTTAAACCAAATGGTATTTTCCCTCAGCACCTCAAGTGCACAGCTTGCTCACAAGGGAAACTGATTACCCGACCTTCACCAGTCAAAGTATCTAAAGAGACCTTGAACTTTCTGGAAAGAATCCAAGGAGACATATGTGGACCAATTCACCCACCTTGTGGGACATTCAGATATTTCATGGTCCTCATTGACGCATCGACCCGCTGGTCGCATGTCTGTCTACTCTCTTCTAGGAACCAGGCTTTTGCTAGGTTATTGGCCCAAATCATCAGATTACGAGCCCATTTTCCAGACTTCCCATTAAAGACTATACGTCTTGATAATGCTGGTGAATTCACTTCCCAAGCGTTTAATGAATATTTTATGTCCATGGGGGTAAGTGTTGAACATCCCGTTCCACATGTCCATACACAAAATGGATTAGCTGAATCCTTCATTAAACGAATTCAATGGGTTGCTAGACCATTACTCATGAGGTCACAACTCCCGGTCTCAGCTTGGGGACACGCAGTCTTACATGCCGCTGAACTAATACGCATACGACCATCTAGTGAGCACAAATATTCACCATCCCAATTGCTAACGGGTCATGAGCCAGACGTCTCCCATATTAAAACATTTGGGTGTTCAGTCTATGTACCCATTGCACCACCACAGAGGACTAAAATGGGACCTCAAAGGAGGATGGGAATATATGTTGGTTTTGATTCTCCCACCATCATAAAATATCTCGAGCCAACTACAGGAGATCTGTTTAAAGCCAGATATGCAGATTGCCGATTTGATGAATCGGTATATCCTAGATTAGGTGGTGAGACAGACAAGCTGGTAAAAGAACTTTCATGGAATCAAACATCCACACAATGGCAAGATCCTCGGACTCTAGAATGTGATTCAGAGGTTCAAAGAATTATACATTTACAAAAGCTAGCTAATCAATTGCCAGATTCCTTTGCTGACCCGAACAAAGTTACCAAATCGTACATACCAGCTTGTAATGCACCAGTACGAATAGATGTCCCCTCAGGGAAAAGTCAAGTTGCTACAGAGTCTGACGCACGTAAGAAACGTGGCAGACCACCAGGTTCCAAAGATAAGAATCCCCGGAAATCAAAGAAAAGTGCAATGATTGAAACCGGGATTCAAGAGAACACGGATACAGCCTCAGCTGATACTTACCCTATCGAACCATCTCAAGAGGTTTGGGACGCCAAAACTCAAGGTTCTGAAGGGATTGATAATAATGAGATCTCAATCAATTATATCATATTCGGTTCTCTATGGAACAGAAAAGATGTCGACATGAATGAAACTTTTGCATACAAGGTAGCACTTGAGATTGCGCACACGCAAGAGGATCTAGAACCCACGTCTATAATTGAGTGCACTCGTAGATCAGATTGGCTGAAATGGAAAGAAGCCATAAACGTGGAGTTGAATAGTTTAAAGAAACGGAATGTGTTTGGTCCGATCTTAAGGACACCATTCGATGTTAAACCAGTGGGAAACAAATGGGTCTTTGTGCGTAAAAGAAACGAACTCGGCGAAGTCGTTAGATACAAGGCACGCCTTGTAGCACAAAGATTCTCACAGAGACCCGGAATCGATTATGAGGAGACTTATTCTCCAGTGGTGGATGCAACTACATTTCGATTCCTCATAAGTCTGGCCATAAGAGAAAACTTAGATTTGCGGTTAATGGATGTTGTAACCGCATATCTTTATGGACCACTGGACAGTGAAATCTATATGAGATTACCAGATGGTATTGAGCTCAAAGATAAGCATGCATCTCGTGATAAACACTGCATTAGGCTGAACAAATCCTTATATGGACTGAAACAAAGCGGACGTATGTGGTATAACCGGTTAAGCGAATATCTCATCAGAGAAGGCTACGAAAACGATCCGATCAGTCCATGCATCTTCATCAGAAAATATCAAAACAAAGGATTTGTAATCATAGCAGTATACGTGGATGACTTGAACATCCTCGGAACATCTGGTGAAATCGCCCAAACAGTTGAATGCTTAAAAGCAGAGTTTGAAATGAAAGACCTAGGCAAAACTAAATTCTGTTTGGGATTACAACTTGAGTACGTCAATGACGGAATCCTTGTGCATCAATTGGCATACACTGAAAATGTACTCAAGATATTCAATATGGACCAGGCCCACCCATTGACCAGCCCAATGGTTGTGAGGAGCCTTGGATTGGATAGTGATCCATTCGGTCCAAAGAAGGACGATGAAGAAATCTTCGGTCCTGAAATGCCATACCTCAGTGCCATAGGAGCATTAATGTACTTGGCTAGTCACACTAGACCAGACATCTGCTTTGCCGTGAGCCTCTTAGCTCGCTTTAGTTCGTGTCCAACTCAAAGGCACTGGAACGGTATTAAGCACATCCTTAGATACCTTCAAGGTACTAAGGACTTGGGATTATTTTATTCTAACCATAACAAGGATGGTCTAGTTGGTTTTGCTGATGCAGGATATTTGTCAGATCCGCACTGTGCCCGGTCTCAAACCGGTTATGTTTTCACGCATGGAGGAACAGCCATATCTTGGAGATCCATGAAGCAGACTATTGCCGCTACCTCATCCAACCATGCAGAAATCTTGGCCATTCACGAAGCTAGTAGAGAGTGTGTTTGGTTGCGGTCCATGACTCAGCATATCCGATCAGATTGTGGTATGGACGAAGATAAGGAGCCTACGGTGATGTATGAAGACAATGCAGCTTGTATTGCTCAACTCAAGGACGGCTACATCAAAGGTGACCGGACGAAGCATATTCTGCCCAAATTCTTCTTCACTCATGAGCTACAGAAGGATGGTCAGGTCAAGGTTCAGCAAGTCCGATCAAGCGAAAATTCAGCCGATCTATTCACTAAATCATTACCGACTTCTACACTCCGGAAGCTCATTCATCAGATAGGAATGCGTAGACTTAGAGATCTACAGTGATGCCTAAACCAGGGGGAGTAATGCGTGTTGTACTCTTTTTCCTTCACCATGGTTTTTCCCACTGGGTTTTCCTGGTAAGGTTTTAATGAGGCAACGTTCCCCAGCGCATTATAGAGATACCGGTTTTGTGACAGGCACGGTTACCTTGTCCAAGGGGGAGTGTTATAAACAAATGGACTTCTAGTAACCGGCCCATTAACCATCAGGTTAATGTCTCATGGCCCATTAGGGTTTCTGATACATTAGTTATGTAATGTATATATACACTGTTTATGGAAACAATAAGATAAGAGTTTGAGTTTTTCCCTTAATACTCTTACGTATCTTCTTATTTTTTTAGTAATTGCACTAAAAGTATAGAACCTCTATAAATTAATACTCAATATATTAATAATTAAATTAATAAATTTTGCTGGTATCAAGTCGGATCAATGTAAAAATTCATCAAATTCGATAAAATAATAAGATAATAATTTTTTTTGAAACATTTATGTAAATATATGGTCCCAACAAAAACATAAATTAATAATTATATAAATTTATGCAAATATATGTAAATTTAATATTCTAAAATATGACTAATGTGTTTGTTTTTAGTTAAAGTTAAAATTTCATTAGTTCTCATCTCTCTAATTATTATATCAGTAGTTATTTCTTATTGCTGTTTTACTATATGTACATTCAAAATTTATGATGATTTTTTGATGTGATAATTGATTTTCTTACATGTAAATATTTTTAAATGTATTGTAGTGTTAGCTTCAATTTTATCATCAATAATACTGATAGTATCCATATTTTTTATAAATTTTAAACTTATGAACATGTATTTTTATCTGGACAATCCAAGATGGTGAAAACCTATTTTATTGTGATAGTGATGATTTTTAATCATAATTTATATTATAAAATATAATAAAATTTTAAAATATAACATTATTCCAAATAGATTTTTAGAAAATTATATGCAGAAAGCAATTTTTCTCTATAAATTATTAATATTAATTTATCTATAAATTAATATCACGATAAATTAATAAAATATCATGGTCCCAACATTATTAATTTATAGAGGTTTTACTGTACTTTCAAAATTAAGCGTCCAAAAATGGTACTGTTATAGTAAACTGTTCATATAAAAAAAACTAACAAACCTCTATAGTTGATTTGGTGCTGTATATAAAGTTTCAGAAACAAAACTTATATGTGGGGACCCTCACAGATAATATGTGTCGAAAATCCAGTTGAGAATATTTTTTTTTTGTTATTATATTTTGGAATGAAAATATTTAAATCTGCAAAATACACGAAATATTAAGTCTTATCACTGCAAAATAC